ATCTAACATCCCCCCTGCTCGCAACAGTTTCTCACTGAAAACTTCGCTAACACCCCATATCTCAACCAAAAGACGTCTTTCCCAGAATATATACCATGAAGACTTGACCAGAACAATATAAGAAAGAAAAACAATTCAAACAAACATGAATGCTGCATCGTGCGTAACAAAAATACTTGGCGCGGGACATGAAACAAAACGGGAAACAAAACAAGACCAAAACACAACCCATCAAAAAAACAATAAAATGTTCATGCCAAATTCATCACGAAATCACGGTGAGGCTCGAAAGCATCCTTCGACGAACTCTTCGTAAGAAAGTCTGCACGCGTACGGCGACAGCACGTGGATGACCGAATGTCCTTCCTCTCTACCAGTTCCCAGATGACTAGTCTCATGGTGTAACTTTAACTGACAGCGGAGATCGGGCGGAGGTTGGATAACCACGCTAAAAGAACACCCTTTTCTGAGGAAAAATATGCCACCTTTGACTATTTCGATGCAGGCAAGCAACGAGACTAATATAGGTGATAACGCGTATTGTACGCCGCCGGTGCGACGATTCTTGTAACTCTTCTCTATGATCGATCGTAGTAATCGAGGGATCAGTCGTGGCCTACAACGATTGCTTACACTGCAACCAAACCACGTACGTGCGTACTGCTGCCTATGTCTTGACGAAAGCTGGCCATTTCGGAGATGGGCACGCCATCAGGCATGCACGCGAGAGGGACCTTCACGACGCCTGTTTGATGTTCCGTGGAGTCTCGTGAGGTCTGAGCAAGCATGTTTTGAGTGAAAATTGAACGAAATCAAAGCAAACTGTTGTTGTTGTTGTCTTCACGTCAAAAAACCGTTCCGGTCTCCACTCATTACCTTCTTGTGTCCGTACTGGTCCAACTGACGCGGACGCCTTCCGTGGTCACAAGCCGACAGCCGTCCATTGGGGGGGGGGGGGGGAACCCCTTTCTAAAAAATATGGAAACAAAAATGGACACCAGAAAATTCCTCCAAGGCGCGATTCATTGTCCAACCGAAAAGAGATCAACAGAACGGCAACCATAATCGGGATAGGGAGACGATCGACGACCTCGGTCAAAGGGATGAAAAAACGAAAGGTACAAAGAGAAAACATTTTTCTGTTTTTGACAAATCGCCGTTTGGATTTTCTGCCTGAGGTGTGTGTGTCAGCCCGGTGCGTGCCTTTGTTGGCAGGCAGGTGCAACCTTCCTGCTCTGCCCGGCTCTACTCCTTCCTCGCTTCTCCCATGCATACCCGCGCAGTGTACAGCCCCTCTCTTCCCATCCGATCAACCCCCCCCCCGCGTTCTCCGCTGCTGCTCAGCTCCGGTGTCCAAACCGGGGCATAGTAGGGTTCAACCCCATGACTGCTATACAGTTGTGGGCCCGGTCTAGCGGTTCCCTGTTTAGCGGGATGCCCTGAATAGCGATTATAAAATCTCGTGACACGGCTGCACCCCGGTCTAGCGGTTATACAACCGCTCAACCGGTCGTGCCCTCAATAGCGGTTATTGGGCATGTTTTCAGACACCAATAGCGGTTATCGGTTCAATTTTTGCGGAGACCTACAAGTGCGCTCCCCGCTTGCACATACTCACAGCACAGCGACATTGGTCAGCCTGTTAGCTGATCGGTGCTCATAAGAAAAAAGACATAGCGAGACACACTCACACCAAACGACGCAGGGCTAGAGAAGAATCGCCGAAAAATAGCTGTAAAAACAACGATGAGAGTGATGGTGGTGAAAGCAAGGAGAATGATGGTGAAAGCACTCCAAAACGAGTGCAAGCACTTTTCCTCTGTTGCTACCGTTTCTGTCCCTGATCCGGAGAATAGCTTTTGCCTGCCCCATGCCGCCCCCCCCTTTTTTTTGGGCGGTAACCATAGTGGTGGTCGAGTAGATCATGTTGTGCGGGGTCGAGAACCCTCACTCCGCGCAAGGGGGATGATCGCACCACGTTGTGTTAAAATGGTCAAGCACCTTCGAGGCAGTTACACAGTGCTGACAACTGTCTCTTGAAGTGAAAGCACCAGAAATTAAATTAAGTCATACGCAGCTGTCATCCGT